ATCAATCGCACGATGCGGCGCGTAGCTAACTCCATCCACGCAGAACAGCGCGCCAACCGAATGCACCGCCTCTGCAATAGACTTCACATCATGGATCGTCCCCAGAATGTTGCTCACGTGCGTGCATGCTACGAACTTCACTTTGTCGCTCAACAGCGGCTTGAGGTTCTCGGCTGTGAGTTTGAGTCCATCCTCCTTTGGAGACGCCCACCACTTCACAGTCAACCCAAGACGCTCAGCCATGAAAAGCCAGGGCTTCGCATTAGTCTCGTGCTCCATCTTTGAGAGGATGATTTCTGAACCCGCAGGGAATTGCAGGGATGAGCCGAGGTTCATGAAGAGTTGTGTTGTTGAAGCACCGAGAACTGTTCATCGTCAGCAACAGGATGCCCAGGTGTGAATGAATCTGATGGTTTCGTTACCGATCTCATCGCGGCCAGCATTCATGTACTTTGCGGCTGCTTGATAGCCCTCCTCGTACTTCGTGTTCGACTGCGTGCCGGTGTGGTATGAAGCGCCAAGCTGAACATTGGTCTTGGACAGGTATTGTACTATTCTGTATTCATATCAGTCATCATATGTATCCACGATCTAGAAATTAACTCACGAGTCAATCGCGTCGCCCAGTGCCTGACTGCCACCGGCGTTGTCAAGGAAGACCTGATCTTGCTGAAGTGCGGGGAAGCGCTCCCGAGCTTTTGAAATATCGAACGTCATGATGCCAATGTCGAGTTATCAAGAGTGATAGGAGTTGAAGACACAAGTTTGAGGGGTTCAGAACTTTTGCTAAGATGCTGTATACCTATGATAGCCGCCGGCACGCCCTATGCAGATAGTGCGGGGCTTGGCTCAATTCAGCAGGTGCTAAAGTCAACCTGTGACGGCATTGCCTGCCCCACGTTGCGCCAGTAATCAGAACGCGCATCCTCGAGGCTGCAAACTAATGTCGTGAAATAGAAGAAATGAAGTACCCCGGTAAGATCTCTATGAGACAGGCCGCCATACGCTTGCAAGATCATGTTCTTCCATAGGTGTCGCGAAACCCGATAGCTCTCCCATGCTCGGTCCTACTCCAGGCCAATTGGTCCTTGATCTTATCAGATCGCAACCCAATAATCAAATGATCATCGGGTGAGTGAACCCTCAGCGAAAGTTGCTTCTCGCATGGTAATCCGCACCCTGACCTTCGAAATATCCCAAGAGACTAGCCAATGCCGCTGTATCAATATCGCATGGTCTACCCATCTCGGACTCCCACTCCTCGTCAAACATAACGCCGTTCTCGTAGGCGTGTGCGAGCCAGGGTCCACGAAAGTATTCGCCTATAGCTGGTCCCAGCCACTTAGTCAAACTCGGGGTCGCGGGCAAGCCTTGACCAATGTAGTTGTCGTTGTAGTAGATACCGAGGCGGTGCGGGGGTATGCGCTTGAGATAAGGCTGTTCCTGAATCACCCAACCGAGTATGTTCTTGCCGAAGAAGGGCTCGCAGGAGATGGTTGCGGAAACCTCAACGCTGCCGTATTCAACCCAGACAAATCTTGGCAAGGGCTCATCTTCGGGGAAGAGGAGACCGCGAAAGAAGCATGGACCAGGTCGGGGCTCGAGATCTGCGAAGGACTTGCAAAGCATCTTGTGCATCTTCCAGTCTTTCTTCTGGCATGCGGTAGAGCAATAGCGTGCATTGCTACAGGTGGAACAGCGTTGTTCAGCAGGCTGTTTGCAGACGAAGCAGGCATGGGGAGTTGTAGGCGGAGCTGGCGTCATATCTTCTGGGTTGGTGATCTTTGAGAAGGTGTCATGGAAAGCAATGGATAGTTTAGTAGCGATAAGAAGCGATTGAAGGAAAAGGCCATACGAAGGTAAGCGGTGTTCTACGTACTTTAAACCGCGAAGACCTTCGAGGTGAGAGAGTCTCTCACTTTGGCTTTCCACATTTCCACTTCTTCTGTCCCAGCTGACTCGAACTGACCTTCCAGGCGTCCTGATTTGGTAATCACATTACCTTTACCTTCCTCCAAGAACTTCCCCGTAACTTGCACAGCGATCTTTAACAGCTCTACCGAAGGCACACCGTCCGTCTCGATATCTTTTTTACCCGCTGCCGTAGAGAAGACGAAGCCAACAACAAACGGCAGGTTGCTCTTATGTGCTTCCCACTGCTTCCCAGATTTGGCAGCAATGATAGGACTGAACTGCTCCTTCATCCTTTCCATCAACTCCCAGCAAAGGTCATGCATGGTGAAGTAATCGAACGTGATTTCTGGAGCCTCGGCGTGGAGAGCAGTGGCCAATTTTTGTATGACGTGGGTTTGCCTTTGAATGGCCGGCATGACGGCGGCGAGGGAGGAATGATGGCGTGCGCCTTCTTTGATCTCGTCTTCAATTGTTTCAGCTGTGATGAGTCGTTCGTCGCCATTTGTTGAAATACGCGAAGCCATCCAGGCCGATACTGGACCCTTGAACTTCAACAAACGTGCGTTTGCTTTGGTCTCCTTGACCTTCGTATTCCTCTTTGAGCTTGCCCAGTTAGTTGCTGAAGCACCAATAGCCATGAGAAAGTTCTTCCAATGTCCCTCAAAGTCTTTAGGGGGTTCGCCAATGAAGTAAGCCGAATTTCCCTGCATGTCCCACAGCGTCTGAAGATCCTTCCACTCTTCCGAAAGAAGCTCAGTCTGGCGCAGGGCATGGTATAATTGTGTTACGCACATGACCGCCCCGGGTGTTGCGGCGTACTTGACAGCTTCTCTATGGAAGACGTTTCGCGCATAGTGAATCCTGCAGAAATAAAGGCACAAGGTCAGTCTATGTCTCACATGCATTTCGTACAGTCAGGACCTACCAAAGACCACAATGTGTGGGGTTGCGACGCCATACGGTATAGTCCTTGTAGGGAAAAGTAAACGCCGATCGGATGATCGCGATGGGATCGACCTCCATGATCTTATCGACCGATTTTACCAATTCCTTCATGTCGGAAGAAGCTCTAGGGTATGTCTCAACGTATTTCTGGAGCGTAGTAAACTCGTTGCGCATCTGCGTCCAGCCCGCACCAACCTCGGTAGAGTAAATGATGTCGAGATATATATGGAATGCAAAGCACGACCAGATTGGTGGTTGCTTGTTCGTATTCTCCCTTGCATAGGATTTCCGCGCTGCCTCGAAGGCGATGACAAACTGATCCTCAACCGCTCCCGGATGATTGTGTAGCAAGGGAAGATCTTGGAACACTTCCATCAACGTCGACTTATCGCGGGCATACTTTTGCTTGTTCGTTCTGGGTGGTGGACCCTCATTTTCATCGAATCGACCCCATTTGCCATTGTAGTCCATGACTGACCCGGACGCGGAGAGATCGTTGTAAAGGTAGACCAGGAGGCCATTACGGGCGTTGTTGAACAGGGCGTCTGCGATGTCGTAGGCTTCGAAGTTGTAGTCGTTCCACCAGCCGAACCAACCTTTCGCTTGTGGGTCAACACCAGCTTCTTTAGCGATAGCCAGAAAGTACACCTCATGGAACGGCACGCTTTCGACGAGATGCTTCATCACTGGATAAACTTCGTCGTGCATGCTGTGCGCAAGCTGAATTGCTGTGTTGGTCGCTACCGACACAGTTGCCAAATCGAGTTCTCCCGCATGGTGCCGACCCCATAGGTCTGCAATCTCAGCACGAAGGCGGGAGAGGTCGTCCATCAACATGGTCATTGCCATAAAGGCATCAATGACGGAGTCGGTCAACACCTCAGCAGTGTAATCCAGTTTCATAGGTTTAGGTGGAGGTACCACGTCTGGTGCAGCCAAGAACTCCGCCGATGGCTCATATATATCCAAAACCTCGAAGATGTTGCGAAGTCCAGTCTGTCTGACTCGGTCTTTATCACTCCGAGGCTTAGCATTCTTGATGCTGTTGAGATCGAGAGCATCGTTTCTCATCAAAGGCTTGAGTGCATCGCGAACACTTTCTAGGACAGTGACAAAAAAGCTGTGACGGTCATCTGACGATTTGTCGACAGCTTCGCCGGCAGCTGCCAGCTTGTGCGAGAAAGCACTTCGAACCGATATCACCCGATCAAGTGCAACGTTGAAGTAGTCCGGCACTTCTACAGTGCCTTTGACCTTAGCAATGTGAGCAGACAAAGGTACGAAGTCCTTGATAGCAAGGGTGTATTTCGGCCTGGACGTCTGCTTGTCTGATCCACTCTGCGTAGTATTGCCGGCTTTTCTGGCTTTGCCTTTGAGCCTTTGCGTCTTCTGTTCCGTAGGAGCAGGCGGTTCGAGGGGCTTGTTGTAGCCAAATGACTTGGCTGTAGACGCGACTACAGAAAAGGGAGATTAGCGCGTGCATCTCTCGTAAGTCTGGCCGCAACTTACGCCATGATGCCACGACATCCGTATCGTGCTTGTATTGCTGGTAAACGCTTCGTAGGTTGTTGGCCGCCATTGTAGTTGTGTAACTGCGTCTATTCCAACCGAACTGACCTCAGTACATGGGTATCTGAGTGTGCAGCCTGTCCGTCTCTACTAAGTGGAACTTCGGGGGAGATATTCTGGGTGTGTTGTCTTCGCTACCATAGATCGTAAATGGGTAGAGACAGCTTTCTGGCGGTGCGCGAAGATATTGCTGGGTCCTTCCCCGCCACGCGTCGCGTCGCGATCGCGACAAATCGCTGTCTGAGGCACGCATCGACAAAAGCAAATTCCAGCCCCCAGCATCTTGGGGTGCAGAGTTTTCTAAGCGCATCCGGTTTTCCGCCCCGTCCATTGCTAAGTGATGCAGACTGAAGTGTTGTACTCCCAGTGGTAATTCGATGTCGCGCGCCTGGATGATGGAAGGCCAGATGGATGCGGCCGCCCGAGCCGTGGAAAACCGCCATGCTAAATTGGGACTAGCGTTAATGACATGCGCTGTGCGGCACAGCGAGCACCTGCAGCATTGCAATCCAGGCTATCTCAATCACCCTGTACTTCATCAAATTGGTACATCTAGAGAACGGCTCTGAACAATGGAAGGGCTGCTGCCGCTTCAAACATCCAGAAGTGAGCGTGCCAAACATCCGCGTCACATACGTCATCATCTAACGCTTCCCAGGCGACAGCACCAGCTCGCTGAGTACTCTGCCCAACGAAATACTACTCCAGGTCTTTTCGCATGTCGATTTGTATCGTTCCATTCGTGTATTGGGCTATATTCCAGATGACCCCCCTCCAAGCTCTCCAGACGAGTATCTCATTTCCGATTTTCGCGCTAATTCTCGCTCGCTACTCAACATTGCGTTGACGTGTAAGAGGTTCACGGTTCTGGCTCGCGAAGTACTGCTCTCTTCGCTCGTGCTCGAGGTCGGCTTCCCAGGAACATTGAATGAGCTTTCCAATTCGGACATCTACGGCCTGATCTGGAGATTGCAAGCACGACCGGAATGGAAACGACATATAAAGCAGCTGAGATTATGCTTACCGTCGGAAGATCGTGGTATCATGAAGTTCAGTGGACGAGGTCCGGTAGAGCCTCACGTGAACTATCTTGTCTACGAGAAGGCGTGTGAGATCGTCGCTTCCCTCGACCTACCTGTTTGGTGGAAGACAGGGAAAATTGCAGAACTGAAAGGCACATTTGCACGTGCTTCGGCTTCCGTGTTCTTAGCTCTGTTACCAAATATAGCGACCTTGTGCATATTCGACCCAGAGTCAAATCTTACCCTCGCTGAGCCGCATTTCCAAGACACGCGCCGTTGGCAGAGATTTGCTTTCAAGCTACCGACCGCGCATGTGCTATCTTATTTGAAGTACGAAAGTCCCTTACCGCCGCTATTAGGGGGTGGCTTGGAGCACTATCCCAATTTGCACACCCTCGACCTGAGCATCAGACTTCAAGGCCAAATACACTCGCAAATTCGCATGGCATCCGAGCACTACCTAAGCAGCCATTGTGCACAGCCAACGATCCGACATCTCCGTCTAGACTTCGAGGTCAGAACGGTCGGCGTATGGAATACCACTTCTCGAGCGTGTATGACGAACGTTCTCCGCGCCTTTCCCAATATTCAATCACTCGAATACTACGCGGAACCGTCGGACAGTAAGAACCCGTATCGGAGTGTCCGCGCGTTTCCTGCCTATCAGGCAAACATCCAATACTATCCTACCGGGCCGTCTCCTCTTGAGGATGATGTCTACGTAGATGAGCAGCACTGGGATCGAACGATATACGATGCGCGGAGCGAAGTCACCGACTACCAGAACCTCGTGGACGGCATGATACATCTGCGACCAAACCTCGAAACCCTGAAGCTACCAGGCGGCTTCTGGACATTGCCAGGCGCGATGCGCAAACCTTTACCGCGATTCGACCAATTTGCGCAACTCAAGAAACTGGTCATTCCTCAAGCAGCGCTCATATCGATCAAGCTCGACAACATGCGTTTCGACGCCGTCTTTGAAGGCGACTTCGAACTTTCACCGACGCAAGCTCTTCCAACTTCTTTACAGCACCTCAAGGTCTTTGACGTTGACTTGGCATTCTTAGAAAGCAGGTGGCTACAGGATCTCTTTGGCGCGCAGAAGGCCGAGAACCATTGGCCGAGGCTGCAGTGTGTAGAGATCTTGATGGGGCCTACAGTCACGGGGTTGTGTCTTGAGGAGTTAAAGGCTAGGCAGAGCGATGCGGAGTTCTGGAAGTCGGTGGATGAAGCGAACTTTGAGGTGGTAGTGGGAAGGGATGAGGAGGGACCGGATGCGTGAGGTGGCTCACGACTGTCATGTACGAGGCGGGGATATGTTTACAGCGGCCTTTGGTCGATACAACGAGATCATGTATATGCCACGCTACTTCGAACGAAGGGCAAGGAAGTCGAAGTCGTACGATGTGGGCTTCAGAAGGAATTGAGATGCACCTGTCAAACTCTCAACATTCAATGTAGGCAACTGGAGAGATCTCGCGCGTGGGATTTAACGAGGAGAAAATAAGTGGTAAAGTTTAGTGATTCGTATAAACAGTATGCAAGTCTATATATGCACAAAGAAGTCGTAGTATATACAAGACTCCGCCCGACCAAGCGAAGTCCGATCATGCCTTCATAAACGCCGCGCTATCATCGTTCAAGCCTCATAGGTATCATCTAATCCAAAAGTAATCCCACCCAATAGTATCAAAGCACACACATTTAGACCTTGGTCTCAAACATGCGGGCCTCGACGTCCTTGCCAGCAAGCACAGAGTCGTTGTCAATAGCACCGTCAGTGGTACCGACATGGCTCTCGCTGTAAGCATCGAGCTCGGCGCCCTTGACCATGTTGAGGTAGATTGGGTAAGACCAGGCAATCGCGAAGAAGATGAGCGGGATGCACATAGCCTTCCGTGTTCCAATGCGGTCAGCGACGTTGCCGAGAATGACGGGACCAACGGCACCACCGCAGACGGAGGAGACGAGGAAAGAAGCACCGCGCTTGGTGTGGCGTCCGAGACCGCGGAGTGTAAGGGCGAAGATGATGGGGAAGATGCAGGACTCGAAGAAGAGGACGATCATGAGCATGCTGAGACCTCCCCAGTTGGGACGGGTGGCGCTGCCAGTGTTGGTGCCGATCGCAGCGCTGATGAAGATCATGATCAGGGTCTGGAAAGCGAGGAGAACGTAACGGGGCTTGCCGCCGTAGTACATGAGTCCGGCTGCTGCGAAACGTCCGACTGCGAAAAGGGCTTGGGCGATGGCGTAGAAGTTGGCTCCCTCGTGGTGGCCTTCAGTAACGGAAAGGTCAGGGCGTGCCTCAGCCTACAAATTTGAAGTCAGTAAATGTTTCATAGCATATGTGTACGGGTTATACGAACAAAATAGTTAATAAAATAAGCAGCGACGCCTACTTGTCCAGCGACGTAAGAGAACTGAGCAGCGGTACCCCAGAATAGAGTGTACTGCTTGCGGAGAGGCTTGTCGACGTAACCGGTAGCAGCGGTGGTCATCTCGGCTTGGTCGGCCATGTCGGAGTCGGTAATCTCAGGAATAGGAGCGAAGTAGAAGACAACAGCGAGGATACCGACGAAGCCAGCAATACCAAGATAGACCCATTGAACAGCCTCAAGAGACTTGCCGTCGGTACCAACATTCTTGAAGATAACCTGAGCAGCGAGGACGGGAGCAACGACAGAGCCAACAGCCTGAACGGACTGAGACAGCTCAAGGCGGAACTCGGAGTACTTGGGAGGACCGCAAACAGCAATGTAAGGGTTGGCGGAAGTCTCGAGAGTAGACAGACCAGATCCAGCAAGGAACATGGCACCACAGAAGCCACCGAAGCTTCGCTTGACAGCCGCAGGCCAGAACATGAGAGCACCGACGCAGTAGATGGAGAGACCGAGAATGAAGGTGTATCGGTAACCGAACTTGCGGAGGAACCATCCAGAGTATGTCAAAGGACCGATGAAGTAAGCACCGAAGTAAGCAGCCTGGAGACCAGACGACTCTCCACGGGTGATGTCAAGAGCGACCTGGAAGCGAGAGTTGAGGACATCGAGAAGACCGTAGGCGAATCCCCACATGAAGAAGAGGATAGTGACCAAAGTGACGGGAACGATGGATTGGCGGACTGTGAGAGCGGAAGCTCCAGTGACGACACGATTGTCGACAGACTTGCGGCGAACCTGTTCGTCGACGACTTCAGCGACTGAAGGGCGACGAGCTTGCTGCTCGTGGACTTGGTCCAGAGTAGGCTCTTGCGAGCCGTTGTTTCCAAAGAAACCCATGGTGATAGTAGGGTAAAGATGAAGATTGGGAACGAAAGTAGATATAGCCCAAGGATCAACAGATGATATGTCTGTAGAGGCGAATCCCAGATAGTGAGAGACGAAGAGCGAGAAGCTGATGCTGTTTCAGTGAAGGGATACAGCGCACACTATATATCCGCTCTCCGCGTCCCCAGATACCCATCTCCATGGTATAGGTCGCGACATGGGGCTGGTGCCATCCAGACTGCAATAGCAGTCGGTAGCCCATTCGGTAGTCCCATGCTGGCGTTGGTTGAGCGCGGCGTATAAGCCGGGGTGTTGGGGTAGAATCTACTGCTAACGCATCGCCCCGTACGCTACACCCCAGTATCCGTAAATTTTCATCGGAGCGCTGCCGTGATGGGCTGGCTCTTCCTCGGCGACTCAGTAGCCTGCATATTTCCCCCGAGAGTATAGCCGGCAAACATCGGATGGTGCGTGTTTGTGTCCAATCACCACGTGCATAAGCATGCACTAACTGCAGCGCATGGACGTTCTTCTCCGAGCGGTCCCACTTAGTCGTTGAGCCTCATGAGACAAATGCCTCGCAGATGGGGCTCGATAGCATCTCCGCGTTGCCAACCCCATGGAGAGACTGTAGCGCAGAAAAAAACTGGAATGCACACAACAGTGGAGTCCCCAACCCGCAAAATGCCCAATTAGCAGCCGCTCCAGCGCCTTCTAGAGGGGCGCATCATCTGCACCCCGCTGTTGATCTCAGCGATCTCGCCTGGTGCTATGTCGTCAGGGTCCTTCGGTGCAGAACCTCTAGAAGGCGTTTTTACAAGCAACGGCAAGCGAGGCTTGTAGGGCCAGCGAGTGAACGACAAGCGATCCAGGAAAGACTCTGGGCGCCACCAAGCCTTCTTTGGGGAATTCATGATCTTGTTTAGCGTTGGTGCGCACCGTCTCTTGGACGCGCAGCCAGTAGCCTCTGGGCTCCCTTGGCATGTTTTAGGCACAATGACATGAGGCCTTGTTGAGGCTCCGACTGCTGGGCCAGGGTGGTCTCGCATGGCCTGAAGCTTGGGGTCTGTGACCTGTTTGCCGCGAGGCTGCATGCTGGGCTGTCCTATGGCTGCTCTGCGATATCGCGATATTCGATTGAAGCATTTGGAAAAGCGCTCAACATTCGTGGTATAGGTTTAGTACGTGTCAGCTATGCCTAATAGCTCGGTGGCTTTGCAGATGAAAAGATCTTCACATCGAGCTGAGAGTATCGACAGTGGCTTACGATATGCTCAATCAGGGTGGATGGAGGTCTTCATCTCTTCGTCAGAAGGTGTAGATCTTGCACTTGCAACATGCATCCGCTATACGCGACAACCATGACCTTCGATATGTAGTCATCAGACATGACGCTCACAACTCAAAGGCCCGTCTCATTCACAGCTGGGCAACCATCAGCCTCCATCTCCCCATCTTTTGCTAGCAACTCTGCCGCATCTCTACCAGGTTCACCATCTTTGCCCTCCGCGGGCACTGTACCCAAGCTGCAAGGGTGCCTGCACCACTGGGGTGGAAGCTGGGGTCGACATCTCAACGAGAGCTTCTAGTGTGCTTCTAGCGTGCTTCTCCGCATGCTCTTTCTTCTGCACCACGCGCATGTAAGCTCCAAAATGACGTGTCGCATGTCAGCGCCACTCCGCAAGTACCGTGTAATTGGTCACGCGAGGTGCTGGCGGGAGGTTTGTCGGGAGATCAAAGGCTAGGCGTCGGAGTTGTCTCACGTGAACACTTCTGGGCGCCACGGCGGCCTGGATCACGAAAGTGTCGGTTTTGGCCGTTCTGCTAACGGAGATGGGGTGTAGTGACGGGAACCATGCACTGTGGTGCGCTGGTAGAGGAATATGTCGCCGCACGTAGCCGACTAGTGGGTGCCGCTTTCTGCTCGTCTGGCGGTTGTTGTGATATCGTCAATGCGTCTGGGGTGCCCATGGAGCATGGGCGGAGCGTAGGCGATGCCGAAATCACTCGAATCGTGCGCGCAAAGTGCCGGACACCCGTTTGTTGAAAGCGAAAGCGGAGGTGGAAACAAGCGATTGCCTGTGTTTTGCCCCTCCAAGGACTAGTCTTTCACGCAGTCTTGTGCATAGTGGGATGATGAGTCTGTGCAAGGGTGAAGAGGTCGGAGTATTGCCAGCGAAAGCGCCTATTACCTTTACGCGCCCACTCCGTTATCTACTCCATGCGTCTGAACTTTGAAAGGTGGAGCGTTGCCGTAATGGAGATGAACAGAAGAAGCGCAGCGGCATAGATCAGGCCTCGATGTTTTCACGAAACCTATTTCCCGCCCTTCACAATGTATTCATCTCCTAACGTAAATCCTCCAAGTACGTCTTTGAGCCCCTCATCATAGTCAGGCTGTACGTCTCTTCCCTCCTCGTCCAAATTTCCCAGATAGTTCGTAATATCCCTCCCATCAAACTCTCTCACCTCAAACCCATTTCCTAGAAACGCCCACATGTTTCCTTGTCTATACTCAATCTCAAAGTCTTCATACCGCGGCGTTTCCATGATCTTGAGAAAGTGGAGGCGCGAGCCGGGCCACATGGTTGCTTGACCATCCGTCTTTCCTTGCTTGAACCAAGAGCGGCATGGTGAAGTCCACGCGGTGCGTTGTAGAAAGAGATCGGCGTGTTGGCGGAATTGCACACAAGGAGCAAGTTTGGGGGCAAGAGACTTGATGTTCTCGACCTGGCATTTTGTAATGACGGAGAAGATGTAGCGGGTCCACACTTCGATCAATGGCATGAAAGAACCATGACCGAGAGGACCATACGGACCACAGAAGGAGAACGTGTTCGGGAAGTTGGGGATACCAACGCTGAGATAAGATGTTACGCCTTCCTCCGAACCCCAAAGATCGCGCAGATCACGCCCATGGGCTTTGAAGGGGAAACGCGGCAGCCAGGAGGTGTCGAAGCCGGTCGCGCATATGATTACGTCGACTTCGTGGTGGTTGCCTTCTTGGTCTGTGAAACCTGTGGCTGTTATGGAGCCAATAGGGTCGGTAAAGACAGTGGCGTTGGGCGCAACAAGAGCTTCGAGATATCCCGGTGCTGGCGTTGGACGGCGGCATCCGGGATTGAAGTTCTTGGGTATCATCTTCTCGATGAGGCGGGAGTCATGGTTGAGTTTGTTGCGCATTTCGGTGTCTGCGTATTCACGTGCGAGACGAGCTTCCTCACTGCCTTTGATGATGAATTTGAAGCGCTGGTTGAGTTCGTTTTCGATCTGTTTGCGATACTCTAGGTACTTCTTGGGATTTTCTTCGAGGTATTTGAGCTGTTCCTCGCTGTCTATGGAACGTCAGTGCTTTCTGTCATATCCTGGACGGCAGAGCTTACATCGAAAGTTTGCGCCGTTCTTTCCGGCCCAGGTTTGAGCAAAGCCTGCTGTGATCCATATTGGCGATCTAATCCAGTGGTACAGATGCTGGACCTTTTGTTGTATTGACGCGACAATTTGCACACCCGAGCTACCAGCACCGATGACAGCGACACGTTTTTTGGACAGATCGTAGCCTTCTTCGTAATTCGCAGAATGCATCAGCTTGCCCTTGAATTCTTGCAGACCTGGAATCTCTGGCCACTTCCACTTGTTCAAGACACCTCCGGCGTTGACAAAGAACTCGGCACTGTCTTCAAACACGACGTCCTTCTCCAGATCACGAACGCGGAACCGCCATAGACCGGCCGCATCGTCCCACTCCACATGCTCTAAGCGGTGTCGCAGCCTGATATACTTGGCGATGAAATTATTTTCGCGTTCGATGGATTTCAAGTACTCCCAGATCTCCGGCGAATACGAGTAGTAATGCGACCAGAGTTTGATTTTCCAAGAGAACTGATAGTTGACCGAAGGGATGTCGCAGGCGCAGCCGGGGTATCGATTTTCCAGCCAAGTGCCGCCAACGTCGTGATTCTTCTCGTAGCACACTATCTCCAGGTTCTCCATCTCTTCTTCAGCCTTTTTGAGAAAGTTCAAAGTCGATGCGCCAGCGCCCATGAGGACGACTTTGACCTTTCTCTTCGTCCCCATGGGCTGTTCGTTGATTCGGTAGCCATGTTGGTCAGTTTCTGGTGGCAATTGATCACGGACCTTTACGTTGTCGTCAGCCGCAGTGCCAGCAGCAGCGTATAGTGAAGTCGGCGGATCTGACTGTATGCCCATTTTGAGATTAGTAGCTCGAAAATGTATGAAAGATGAGCTTGTTGGTAGTACACCGAGGAGCATTCCGGGTCAAACAACAACTGCGCCATCTCATATAGTTGCGCCATAGCCAGACCTCGGAAATAGCCATGTAAGGCGGAGATGGTGACAGCATCGCCAGCAGCACTGCGGGGTAAGATTATGTTCACAATACCTAGGTACCTTACACAAGCTTCGCGTGTGTTTTGACCCGTGAAAGCGCTTTCGAGCCTGCGGTCAGAATTGCTGGTGCATGACATTCTCTAGCAGGCGCGCTCTGGTGACCCGGCCATGGGGCTCTTGGGAGATGGCTGCACACCCAAAGAAACAGCGCCACCGCTGTGCTCATGCGACATTGTAGTTGGCTGCAAGCATACAATGACCGATGCTAGTCATGTTTTACTCCGAGTTGGCGAACACGGGGGCCATAAAGGGTGCAGTGTGCGGAACAATGGTACGAGATGGGGGATCAGGCACACGGTAGGGCTCCGCTCCCGGTTGTTCTTGGCTCCGCGATAGTTGGACGGCAATGACAGCAACGCCGCAAACAAGCCATAGCCGTCTTCCCACCACCCTAATTCCTGCATCGCCATTGCGGAGTCCTGTGTCTCTCGTCGAATCTCGCAGTTCCATAGCAGCGTCGCCCAGCGGCCCGCACTCCCCGCTACAGCCACGCAAAACACGCTTGACGACCCGCTCGACAGCTGCCACCTACGCACAGGCAGGGCTGCTTCCCGTCCCTCATTCCTGCCCACCGGGAGAGTTATCACCGCCGGCGCATGCGAGCGCGCGACATAGTACGAGTCGCAGAATCGCCTTGCGTCTCCCCCCTCCCCGCGCTGGCTAGGTTGCTGGACTCCAAGCTCAGCTCAGCGGCCCTGGTCATGGTGCCCGCGCAACTTGGTCAGATAGCCTCGTGAATGACGCTTCCCACCGCACCGACTCCCATCGCGCCTTCCTAACCATCCTCGCGCCTTCCTGCCGCCATGTCGTACTACGGAAACGGCCAGAACTACTACAACCCCAACATCCCGCACTCCAATGTGGGCGCGCCCGGCCAATATCAGGATCCCTACAACCGCCGCACGCCAAGCGCTGACAATGGCGATGCCACCAACGGAGCGCCCACGGGCTATGGGCACCTCCAGCAGCTCGACCGGCGCAACAGCATAGCGGCCCGCCAGAACGACGAGCTCTTCATCGGCGCAAACAGCTCCCCGCAGCCACCTCAGGGTCCAATGTCCCCCACAGCGGGCGGGTTCAACGGCGGCTATGGCTACCAGCGGGCGCAGCAGGCGTACAACCCCCAGAACTACAACACGCAGCCCATCGCTCTGCCCAACCCCCAGCACTACGGCGGTGTCAGCAACAGGACCTTCGCGCCGCCCGTCTCTGTGTCGGCTTCGCACCAGCCATACAACCCAGCTGCCTACGCCGACAGCAACATCGCACCCGCCAACTCCCTGAGCCAATCCTATGGCTTCTCGCCCACCTCCCCGACCGCCTCATACCACTCGCCCTCGGTGTACCAGAATCAGGGATTTGGAAGAGCACCCTCTGTCCAGAGTCGCGCGTCAGCTTACGCAGCATCGGCCGCACCACCACTGCCTGCTCCTCCAGGGAGCGCGCAATCTGCGGGTGAGGACTGGGGCACCTACCCGAACCGACGACCCTCGAACGCGTCCTCGGGCTACTATTCCTCGAGCGCCTCGCATGCTCCACTCCCGTCTCCCCCGGGATACGATACTGGCTACGGCTCCCAGCGCGGCGACAGGTATGCCTCCATGTCGGGCAACGCCCTTCCACCCACGCCCGAGGTCCCTACACATGGCTCGCCGCAACGGACCAACACGGTATCATCGCGACCGCTACCCCCACCACCACCCCACGAGTCCGACAGCGACGAATACTTCGCGCCGCAGCAGAACGGGTATCAAGACGAACTGTTCAACGACGTTATGAACATGACATCGGGCGGCGCCCAGGTCCAACAGCCAAACGGTCAATACTACAGCGAGTCTGCGGGAAGAAACGGCACGAATGGCGCGGTTGCTGGACGCGACACCTACCTTAGTGACGAGAGCGACGTAGAGGCAGCTGCTGGTCTAGCTGCACTTCAGATGGCCGAGGAACAAGAAAGAGAAGACGAAGCTCGTAGAGCTAGTGGTGGCACCGGGCTTTTCAGCAACTACACGTCGGTACATTCCCCGCAGATGCCTGCCGAGCCGATGCGACAGGAAAGTGCCAGCGATAGTGACTACGTGGGTATGGACGTGGGTACCTATGGCGGCGGATTTGCACCATCTTTCAACTACGGCGGAGACCCAAGCGTACTGGCAGCGGGTGGAAGCCACACAGCATCCACCTCAGGTTCTCAGCGACGATCCGACCCTATGCGCGACGACTACGACCCGATCCATCCCTTCCCGTCCTTCTCGAGCAACGCGCGTGTCGATACATTTGGTACCGGTGGTCTGGAAGAGCCTAGCGCACGGCGGCGGAGCTACGACGAGGGCGATGAGGTCACACTCATGGATAGCGCATCTGCCCTGTCCGGTTCGACACTCAATGGCCCTTCAGCAGTCATGCCGGGCGAGCCACCGGATATGTTCTATCACCCGGGCATTTCAAACCGGCCATTGCCCCCACCTCCAGTGAACACCGGCAGCCGGCGAATGAACCACCAGAGCAACAGCTCCACCGGATCTGGATCCTACGAATACTGGCGTAACGCTCCGGCTGCCCAGCGTTCATACCCCGTGGATGCGAACGCTATGCACATGATCTCTCCCACCGGCGCCCCTGTGCCTCGCTCAACCTCTCTACTCCAGCATAGCAATGCCCGAGATGCCATTCCCTTGCCTCGTTCCAAGACAGACGCTGAGCAGGGGCACAGACCTCGACCTCCTCCCGGCAACCGGAATACCTTCTATGGCGGTGCCATGGACAGCGACGGCAATACCCTCACCCCTGGCAGTGCAGAAGCTGTAGCTATCGACCTACCCACGATTCCAGCCGGCAAGCGCTTCAATCCCGCAAAGCTTTCCAGCATCGACTTCAAGAAATGCACTGAGCCTTGGGCACTTAGCTCGATCATCTCCTGGCTGAAGAACATGACCGAAGGCGAGAATGACCTTAAGGAGGGTCCGATCCAAGAAGGTCTCATTGCGCTATTCACCCACAAAGTTCCAACTATGAACATTGCGGATGCCGAGACACTGAGTAGTCGGGTGGTAGCTGAGATGTACAAAGCAGGCACACTTGTGCACGAGGAAGAGTGGCTGAGGTTCTCGACCGCAAGCATGACTGGTGTAATATTCCAGCTTACGGGCGCCGGATGCTACGCTCCCATGCTTCATACACATGCAAGCCCGGGTCGATGCTACTCGCACCATTGCCAACGCACACTCAAGAAGATCGACCTGCACGCTCCGTCCGCCGCACCTCGATCAGAAGACTGGGCGACCTTCTATAAGCTGAAGAAAGAAGACATCGAAGGAGCAAACAAGAAGGAGATTGAACGTCAAAACATCCTACACGAGATCGTCCAAGGAGAAGATAAGTACATGAACCGACTTGACGTATTACGGCACCTCTACCGGGATCGACTTCAATCAGCCCAGCCTCCAGTCATACCTCCTAAGAAGGTCGACAGATTCATCCGCGACGTGTTCAGCAAGGTAGACGCAGTACGGAAAGCGAACGAAGACCATCTTCTTCCACAGATCAAGTACAGACAGCAAGAGCAAGGCCCATGGATTGTAGGCTTCAGTGATATCTTCCGAGAATGGATCCGGAAAGCGAAACAGGCCTACATCGAGTACGCCGCGGCTTTTCCGTACGCATCCTTCCTTGTTCGACAGGAAGCTGACCGAAACATACTGTTCCGCACCTTCCTGGACGACGCTCAAAAGCACAAGTTGTCAGAAAAGCTTGGCTGGGATACCTATCTCAAAGGTCCTATCGACAGACTGCAGCGCTATGGTCTTCTCATAGACACAGTCATCAAGTACTCGACTGTGGACAACGAGGAGAAACGAAATCTCCAGGTCGCCAAAGAAGAGATCAAAGCCGTGACACTAGAGTGCGACAGCCGTGTCGCTGAAATGAGTCGGAAAGTCAGTCTCACCGACTTGCAAGCAAAACTCATCTTGCGGCCAGGTATGCAACGAGTGGAGCTCAACCTGGATCACCTGGGCCGAGAGCTCATCTTCCGAGGCGACTTGCAAAGGATGGGAGGCAGCCGTTTCAACTGGCTTGAGACCCACGCATTGCTCTTCGATCATTACCTTGTGCTCGCCAAGGCAGTCTCTTTCCGAGAAGCAGACGGTGTTACCAAGTCTGAGAAGTATGATGTGTCAAGATTGCCAATTCCCATGGATCTTCTTGTTCTCGAGAGCGAAGACGACGATCCCGTTGTGCGGTCTACCATGAAGGGTATCTCTACTGTCACCACCGTTTCTGGTCGGGTCGGTTCTGGGGCTGCGACAAGATTGAACAACAGCCCTGTACCCGGTGGTCTATCACACACAAGCACCTCAAACTCGCTTGGGTCGACCAACACGAGCAATTCCGGCAAGACCATGGTCAACACCACCTCAAATGATGCTTCAAAGGATGAGAAGATTTTGTACCCCTTCCGCGTAAAGCACTTGGGCAAGGAGACCTACACACTATATGCGCCATCAGCAACGAATCGTGCCGAGTGGTGCGACAAGCTCATCATTGCGAAGACGCGACACGCAGCAGCTCTCTTTGCTCAAAACGCCGAACCGTTCAAGTTGAGAGTCATGGCTGACGCAGCCTTCGCATATGACAGCGCGATGCCTTCGCAAAAAGCTATCACGATCAAGGGAACGCCTTTGGATCGCGCAGTCGACGAAGTGGAGAAACTTTTCGTCAATGTTGGGCGGCCTGTCCCCATCTGCCGCGCAAGGGTAAACTGCGCAACAGCCTTCAGCCAGCCCTACGGCAAGCACATGCTAGCCGTTGGTACAGACATTGGAGTCTACGTGTCGGAATTTGATAATCCTAGAGGCTGGTCCAAGGTATGTAATGCGTTCGTAGTCGTATGATATGGTGCTAACACTCATAGGCAATCCAAGTACCACGTGTGACGCAAATCGCCGTCCTCGAACAGTTCAGCTTGATGCTGCTCATCTCCGACAAGGCACTCATTGCGTACCATCTCGATGCGGTATGCCCAGTGAGTGGCGTAGCCCCCTCAAACGACTCAACACGACGAGCACCCCAAAAGCTATCGGGTGCACGCGACATTGGCTTCTTCGCCACTGGCGTGATGAAAGACAGAACGCTAGTGTTCTACAAGAAGCGTGACGGTATCTCATCCACCTTCAAGGTGCTTGAGCCTGTTTACCAGAAATCATCCGAGAAGAAGTCCAGGATATGGAAGTCTGGACGCACAGAATTCTTCCGCGAGTACGACGAGTTCTATATCCCAGCAGAGTGCTACACGATCAATCTCTTCCACTCGTCGCTGGCAATCTCCACAGCAAAGGGCTTTGAAGTGCTTACCCTCGACAAGAAGCAGCCATGGTCCGTACCCGATCTAAAGCAATCACACGTGGCCACCATCGCTTCACGTCTTCAAAACCAGGACCCACTGGGCATGTTCCGCCTCTCGGATCAAGAGTTCTTGCTCTGCTACGAAGAGTGTGCCGTATACATCAACAAGAACGGTGACATCTCGCGGTCCGTCATCATGGAGTTTGTCGGCAAAGCCAAGTCTGCCGCTATGTACGGTCCTTACGTCCTCTTGTTCGACCCAGACTTTGTCGAGATCAGAAATGCGCAAAACGGTCGTCTGCGCCAAGTTATCGCTGGACGCGATGTCAAGTGCCTCGATGACGGTCTCAGCGGAGGTTCAAGTCACAACAGGACAGTCAAGCTGAGCTTACAACATCCGCAACATGAAAGGAGTCAGGTTGTCGTTGAGCTTGTACTTAACGAAGGGCAAAAGGAGTAAGGCAAATATATGCGGATGGATACGTGGATGGCCTGCTGTGCAACACCATCTTCCGGACCATACTACGCTACATCTACGGCAAGCGGGCGGAGTTATGGAGTCAGGACCCCCGGGGCTGGGAATACCCACCGCTGCACTACCCGTTGCGACAGAGTTGGGGCGATTGGCGCTCTTTCTTGCATATCATTAGGATTTTGATTCTTGTTCGCGTAAGGATACCTGGTTCATTCGTGCTTGGTGTTTTGGTTTCTCAGGCGGCTAGTCTTGCATGTGCTGCCTGGTGTCGGTGTTCATATTCGAGATAACGGTCGAACTTATGTAGTTGAAATGCGGTAATCATATCACAACCCACAAGCCATCTACTGAACGAGTGTTTGATATTTCTCTTCTCGTATTCAACGCTCGTCCAGCCATCTCATGACTACAATGAATATACCTCAGCGAGCTCAAACACGAATCCAATGCCTCTGCCGCTGTTCCCACCCCGATGTGGGTATTTCGAAATGGTCATCGGGAACAGCGCCTTTGCAGCGCTCCATCAGCCCCATCCACCACACTTCAAACACGGCACCCTAAGTCGCGCCTGCCCAGGTCGTTTGTATCGTAAGTTGCACCATGCCCCAATAGTGAATGTCGTAATCCTGGCAGCGCCGCGAGACCTCCGCCCACCAAGTCTCAAACACCATGTCGAGATTCTCGCGTGTCCAGTCCATCGCTAGATCGAACTCGGCGTTCGTGTACGGTCGTATCTTGCGCCGGAGCCTGAGGTGGGGGTTCGAAGTCAGTGTATGTCTCGCAAGTATCTCGACGGGACTTACTTCTTCTAGAGAGCATCTGCCCGCTGCATACAGATCTTGATGACGTCCAGGTGGTCCAGAGCAAGAGCTAGTATGACCCAAGAGAGCATTTTGTGGTACATGGGTCTGCTCGGGTGGTCGATGAGCTCTTTGGCTTTGTCGATGGCTGGGTAAAGCTCGCCGGCCTCGAAGAGGTCTGCGATTTCGTTGAACTCCGCTGCGAAGACGGGGTGGTAGATTTGTGCGAGACGCATAGCGATGGAGGTGGATAGTGATGTTTGTTGTAATGGTGAGATGCGGAAAGCTGAGTGGATGTGGTGGGTATGGTCCGTGGCTGCCGGTGCTGTACCTGGTGGACGAGCACACGTTTGTTTGTAGCATGACGCAACTTTAGAGCTAAGTGAGGAAAGAAGCACGCGTGTGCGCTTCCGCCTACATGACGATATAACTTCGTGAATTTCCGCTGTTGTACTAATGCAGCTGTCTGTATACAAATCTAGCTTTTTCTTCTTATGAGATTCTTAGTCCATGTCTGAACCCAGTTCGGATTAAACACATCAAGACCGTTCGTCGGCCAACAAGGCAACGCCAACGACTCCGATAAACCTGCCGGATGTACAAGAGGACGATGAAATGGCCTTGACTCAGCAGCCAGGCTTGTTCAACCGTGTTCGCAATGCGAAGGCTGCAAAGAATCCTCAGCGGTCCAGCTCAGTGTAGTAGCGTACTAGACATCTATAAGAGCGTGTTTTGATCGATGATGAGCTTCATGGCTTCCGTTTGATAGCTCTACGTTGCAAGTGTACCAACGGTGTCCTTGAAAATGACCTTATGTCCCTTCTTGGTCGGCCGGTCTCGCTCTTTTCTCATCTCTCAAGTTCTCTGACACTCTCCTCTTCGATCAAGTACGGCAGAATGGCAGGCGTTGTTACTATCACGGATACTGTCGTCATCACCGTTACTGCGCCGATGGCGTCACCTCCGTTTCTTCCACTTCCAGAACAGTTCACATCAACGACGGAATCCAGTACCTTTTACGAATGTGTTCCCGATGTACCAGAAGCACCAGAAACCTCGAAGTCGGGAATAGCAGTATACGTTACAGCCGCTGTAGGGACTGTGTTTGCTGTTCTAATGTTCGCGTCGTTGATGGCATATTTGAGGAGATCGAAGATGGATGGAAGGAGATTACGACATGAGAATTGAGTGTTGGGCGCGAGATACCGAAAGGGAAACTTGCTTGATCGCATGTCATGATTGAGCGAGGAAGATCCGAGAACACGAACACACTTACCGTGCCACTGCTACATAGTAGAAGTTTGCGCAAATGTACTGATTCTAGGGCTGAAGCCTGTACTGCTTGACCAAAAGTGCAGTTCTCATTATGTCTTCAAATGCGAGGCGTTCTCGTATGCGAAGTCACATGTCTGCCTTTGCAAGGCACCCCAGCGCCTTTCCGTTTATTTCGCGCATTTTCAACTAAACCGATGCTGACAAGATTACCAAGTGCTTGGATATGGCCAAATGTCGCCGTCGAACATGGAGGTCGGCGCAATTATCGGCCAGAGCGGTCCAGAGAATCCTTTGGGTGTTGGCCAAGTAGATAACGAGCATCGAGTGGCCCTCACGATCGCCAATGCAGCGTTGGGTCATCATCTTGGGGTCTTCCAGAAGCATGGTGCTTAGCGCCAGGGTTTTCCAGGTCTGATGATGGCTGCATCCACTAACAGGACTAGAGAGCCCGGGATGGCCATTTTGTTAGTGATTCCATCGCACAACAGCAGAACTGGGTGCTCCGGTTTTGATAATGGTTATCGCTATGGGGATGTCGATCGGTCCGAAGCGTATCGGATGTGGAGAGTGTTTAGTATTTTCGTTCTTGGTGTGGAGCAGCTGAGCACGCGATATGTAATGCGAATTAAACGCGGATGTCGTAAGAAGGGCAATCAGCAGTAGGCCTTTGTGCGGCGATGGTGACGGCCTAGCTGTGTCGGGGAAGGGACGACACCGTCAGGCGCGTCAACTCCTGCCACCCGAACGAGTTGCCGGCCCGTGCACGCGCCGCCTAATGCGGGGGCAAAACCGCCGCGGCTGAACAGGTCCTCACGCAGCAATCAACTCAGCTGCCTCGTGGTGCGACTCGCGCAATACCGCCTCGTACAAGACGCATCTTCGTCAGGCAGATGCCTCGCCCTGAATAACAGGGCAGAATCCCGTCACGACTCGTAGCGGCAGGCGGCCGGGTGGCCGTTCGCTTTTTATCGGATCCCACAAACGTCAAATATCACCTTATCATGCTAGGAGCGAATTAAGGATAGGCAAGAAACTTGGCTCAGCATGCCATGGCCACCGCCAAGACACACAGAGCAGGGTCCGTCCCACCAGTCCAACTGCATCAAGAAGGAGATATACGCGGAGACGACAGACGCGCCAGCATGGCTCGCTGGACCGGGCGATTGGCGCTGCGCTCAAGACGCTCTAGAAGACGCAAGTCGTCAATATTGGTTGGATCTGGCGGTGCCCGTTCCACACCATTCTTTCACTGCGGTCCTCTTTGCTTGGCCGTCTTGGGTTACTTCGCCCGCCGCGACAAGCCTTCCAACGGGTAGCTCGTTATCAGCACCGTTCCGTGGGACCACTATCTCGCCCTCCCCGCAGCCTCGGTCGTATAACAACCGGTGTACCCTGCTGCTTCAGCCGCTCAAGGCTCTCCGCTGCCTCACCAGTATTTGACGTACCAGCTGTAGATACAGTTGCTTTTCCTCGATACCATCAGGTTCGAGTCGCTTCACGTTTTCGGGCTTGCTCCCCGCGATCACCGCTTACACTCACCCGTGTGCGGCTCTTCTCAACACGCGCCATAAAGTACTAGTCTACCTGGCTGTGCACACCACACCTCATTCAAAATGGCCATTTGGAACCGCAAGTCGAGTTCCTCGGACGGCGCAAGTCCTCACGCTTCTGATCCTGAGTATGGTACCAAGCCCGAGTACCAGCACGAGACGGGAGAGGTCTCCGCTGTCGACAGCAATGGCGTTGCCGTCCACTCCGACCACACGCATCTGCACCGTGGTCTGAAGTCGCGCCACATTACTATGATTGCTATCGGAGGAGCCATTGGAACTGGTCTCATTATCGGTACTGGTAAAGCGCTGGCACAATCTGGGTAAGTAGCGCGAATCTGGCGATCTTTCATCATCACTAACAACAACAGCCCTGGTTCAATTCTCATCGCCTACACTTCCGTTGGTCTCATCGTCTACGTCGTCATGACTGCTCTCGGCGAAATGGCCGCTTGGATTCCTCACGCTTCTGGTTTCGCTGGCTACGCTACCCGTTTCTGCGACCCTGCTCTCGGTTTTGCTCTTGGTTGGACTTATTGGTGCAAGTACATTATCACGACGCCGAACCAGCTTACTGCCACTGCTTTGATCCTTTCGGAATGGAAGTCTAGAGATGAAGTCAATCCCGGAGTCTGGATTGCAATCTTCTTAGTCGCCATTATCTGTATTAATTACTTCGGTATCAAGTTCTTCGGTGAACTTGAGTTCTGGCTTAGTTCTATCAAAGTCATCACGATTGTAAGTCTCAAGCGCTTTTCTATGCAAAACAATACTGACTAGTGAAAAGGTTGGTGTCATCTTCCTCTCGTTCCTCCTTGCTGTCGGTGCTGGGCCTGGTCCGGCAACTGGCTTCAAGTACTACAATGACCCCGGTGCGTTCAAGCCATTCATCGCTGGTGGCTCTGCTGGTAAATTCTACGGATTCTGGAGCTCCTTGGTCAACGCCGTCTTCGCCTATCTCGGTACTGAACTTATCGGTGTTACCGTTGGAGAAGCTCAAAACCCGCGCAAGACCATTCCTCGCGCCATCAAGCTCACCTTCTACCGGATCTTGTTCTTCTACTGCTTGTCGGTATTCTTCTTGGGCATGATTGTTCCATACAATTCCGAGGAGTTGGCGTTCGCAAACAAGGCTACTACTGGTGCCTCCGCTTCTCCTTTTGTCGTCGCCATCAAGCTTGCGAAGATCCCCTATCTACCCACGATCGTCAACGCCTGCATCTTGCTCTTCACCTTCAGTGCTTCCAACTCTGACCTTTACATTGCCTCCCGTACGATCTACGGTCTAGCCGTCGAAGGCCATGCCCCTAAGATCTTCCTCTGGACTGATAAGCGCGGTGTGCCCGTACCTGCTTTGGCC